GAATATTAAAAAGGGGTGTATCGATTTTAATCCGCATCGGGAGATTAAAACGTCGTCGTTAATTCTCCGTGCGCGCTTCTAGAAGAGCGAAACGTTTTCGAGATTCAAGTGGAAATAAAAACAACGTACCACGGAAATTTCAATCGGGAAAACGAGATACACACGCGTGAATTGGTGTCGATGTATCGATTGTTCGATCCTGGAACCATGCGAAACCGGCCGATGTAAACTTCAAATGTTTTCGGCCATTCGGACATTTCGGATTTCGGACACACCCATCAAATTTTCAAGTAAAATTCAATACCAAATTGCAGCAACAGGATATGGACCGGCTCTACGATTATGGAAACTCTATAGAAGACAGGTGAGCTTCGCCGAACGGTGTAAAGTCGGTTTCGTTCGATCGAGGGGAATTATTCCGGGAATCGAGCCGATGCACAATGGTTCAGGACGCTGTTTTAGGTGTTTAAAAGCTGAATTTTAAGTATTCGAATTTCGATCCGAATGAATCTCAATGTCTTCATCAAGCTAAAGTTCCTCGTTCTTTTTAAATCTCAAGTGAGATCGATCACAAGTTTTTTATGTTTTCAACAACTCTTTCGCAAAATTTTTGCACGTGGATTCGTATAATGAAACGATTTTCATTGATACTAAGCGATTCGTTTTGAAGCTTCTTATCTATACATATAAGAACAGATACACGTGTCGTCTTTCGAAACATTATCGTGCTAAAACATCAAACTTGTTTTGTCTATTTAAACAGATAGAATCTGACAGCATAAATATTTGCGTTCACGCGCAGAATGTCGCGCATAGAAGTTATCGTAATTCAATTAATTAGAGTTTCAATAACCATTTAACCAGAAATCAAATTGAACGTTACCAGGCTTCAATCGTTATTTAACTGTAAACCTCATTTCTTGAAAGCACTTCGAAATAGATTTTTTTCCAATATAATACCCACACAAAATGAAACAATACTCATCTTTAGGAACATTATTGATCGTGTTAACAATACAGTCACTGAGGAAAGACTTCGTACACCCCTCAAAGATCACTTTTGTGGGATACATAATTAATTTTTTTATTATAGTCTGTCTACTATATAATATTTTTTGTGGCCCGTGAATATTCAAAAATTTATGACAACTATTATATGAGCCGTTCATTTTCCAAAGTGGTTATTTCCATAAATCAATAAATAGAAATTTATTTATATATTTAAAAAACTGCAGTCAGTCACTTTGATCCCGGTACGACTCATACATGGCTCTTATTATCGAAGAACTTGCCCACCCTTGTTTTATATCATAATACTCCCTCGACGACATTCAGAATCGGTGGTCTCATATGTATCACAATGTGAACTCCTAAAATATCGTTCTGGACCACTGTTCGATCGTTCCTACGAAACGAAAGACCCTTCTTCCGGCACCCAGATTGGATTTTATCGGGCTAAAGCTCAACCCCGAAATCGTATTTCTTACATGGTATCGTAAACATAGCATCGATTGGGAGATTCCGTGACGCCGAGTTAAATCCTGTATGCAGAGGGTCAACGAAACACCTACAACACCGATACATTTCCTTCGGTCGAACGATCGATTAGCGTAGTCGTTCTCTACGCGAACTTGAAAATGGGGGAACGTTGCAAGATCGTAAAACCTCGTTCTCCCTTTTTAGATATTTCTTTCCTCGCGAGGTGAATATCGTTGATGTTCGGACGGGATCGATAACGTTGTTTTTTTTCGCCCCTCGAGGGAACAAGTCCCCCACCGTTTATGTTTCCGTGTCACGAACGGGTCTCGTTTAACGCTCTGTAACTAAAAGAAACTAGTGACGCCACGATATCGTGTAACTTCATTAACGCGTAATTTACCACGCCGTTTTTCTCCGTTGACCGAATCAATCGCGTTAACGTTCGTGCGCGACGGGTGATTATGACGTGGAGGACTGATCGGTTATTAAGCGGCCGTGATTGAATCGCTCCGCATGGTAATTTCCTCGGAGATCTCGGGAGTTCGCGAGTCCCTCCTTCGATGAAGCGTACGGGATTATCGAGTGATCCTTGCTGCGCCAGTGTACACTGGGTCACGAGTAATTTTCACTGGGAATCCTTTCGACAATGGCCGCGGAATTAGGCAACTATGTAGTTCGGAGCAAAATTCTCAGCGTTTCAGTATCCGATATTCCTCTTGTCGTTATCATGTTTGTCTATCATCTCATAGGATGAGAGAATATTTACAGTACATGTAAAGATAGGGTGAGTTCTCGTTAAAAAATTGAGCTGCAATTTTAGAAGTCTTGTCTCCCGCGGGGAGTATTTTTTTTAGAAAATTGAGCATGAACATTCGTCAGGCACACGCGATTCGGAATACTGCTGGTCGATTTGTCTGACTATTGCTCGGCATTTCTACTTACAATTAGACTGTGGATGTTTGTGCTAGTGTAGAATATTGTGATTCGATTCATGTCAACTGGAGTTGAGCTATAATGTGTTTACTCTGTTCAGAGTTGCATCAAGTTTTAAATTAAGTGAAACTCCATTAAACGTAATTGAAATCCATAGAACCCAATAATAGATTTTCAAGTTATGGGTAATTAACTACACGACACAACAAAAACTCAACTTGTTAACCCCAATTAAACAATATTCCGATGGCAATACAAATGGATACTGTCATTGTAGTATCTATTTACCATGATCTTATTATACAGGGTGTCTCAGGTGGAGTTGTACAACCGGCCAGGAGGTGATTCTATAAGCAAAAGTAGATCGAAAAAGAAGAATAAATTTTGTTTCGTTTCAGATTTCGTTTTTGAGATAATCGAATTTGAACATTTGCTGGATTGCGTGCCATTGAATAGAACTTCGTTAGCGTGTCCGTTCATTGTATTCCGTTTCTACTTACTCTCACGACATGAATACATGCGTTTCAAAATTTATTCTATCTTTTGATTTATTATTTCTTACGAATAGACTCACCTCCTGCTCGACTTAAAACACCCAGTATACGTTCATAATAAACAATACAAGCAAAAATAGTTTACAACGGGATAAAACTATAATCAAATCAATGAATTTTCGTATTTAATCTTGCAGAAAACAAATTTTCACGTAAAGAAATTTCATTTTAGATTTTCAATTTGCCTCTGCAGAGAAAATTACCTCGTCCTGCATTGTTCCACAAATTTTGCTACACCCTGTATAATACATTCGTCTCTCCATTATATTAATTTTTTACTACTGTGTCAATTTGACACCGAGGGATGAATTAAACTGGAAAAATGAGGGATATTTGGGGGTTAAAGTATTCTGAATCTACGAAGAAATTTCTATTACTTGAGATGCTCATAATGGTCTCAGAATTTTATAAACGAAACATTTTCAGCCCTATGGATTGCCATGAACCCGTCCGGAAAAGCGTAGATCCGGAACCCCATCAAGACTCCAGTAATCTCTTGCCCGATCAGGTGGTGGATAGGGGTGGCAGGTGTCGCCGACGCAGTCGGCGTCGTAGTCGGCGTCGTTCCCAGAAACGGAAATGCATCTGCAAATCTCGACGTAGCAGACGGAGGAGAAAGAAGCGCATGTTCTTGTCGGCCAATCCGTTCATCATCTTCTATCTGGAGTTGTTATGTAAATCACAGGGGAAACGCGTAACAGTGGTGGCTCGGGAGGCTGGCCGAAAATGGTGCTCCATGTCCGCGGGTAAAAAGAAAAAATACATACGGCTCGCGGAACGATATCAACGTAAATGCGGGAAGAGGAGAAGGAGATAAACCGTGTGAGGATCTCGTGTTTCCTTATTTCGAGCGGCAGAAACGAAACGAAAGATCCAGAGATCGGAGGCAAAAAGACGTAAGAGGTACTCGTCTCAAAGTGAACATATCATCTGGTATTCGTGCCGAGAATCAAACGACGAAACTTGCTTTCGTATTCCAGAAAGAGGATCCGAAGAACAGACCCGCGGTTACACCGGTGTGTGTGCAAAAAATTCGTCTATATCGTGAAATCTCGACGTAACCCCCATAATCCAATTACAGAACGATGGTATTCGTCCCGACACCGACCTGTCGTGTGTACCCCCAGTGTGCGATACAATCTTGTACTTTATATGGAACAAATATACATGTTTTCGTTGGTAAAAGAGAAACAGAGGGGAAGAGGTAATCGATAGGGGAATACGCGTGTGTCGGTTTGTAAATGTTCCGATAACTGAACCACAAGCGTGTGCGTCTCACTCGAGGAGGGAGGTAGCGACGGAGTATTTTTACTAGGGGCGGGTATTAAAGAGTTCCGAGGCATCACAGCGCGTGCAGCTTACGGAAGCTCAAGGCTGGCAACTCTACCCTCTCGGTCACTATGCTACTGCTTGATCCTTGCGGTCGGAAAGAGGTCAAGGTCGTTCGAGAGAACTTTAAGTGCTTCCACGATTCATTGAATTCCCATCCGGCTTGCGCACATTTTATCCTTTGCCCGCCTTCCTCACCCCCCGAGCAGGCCTAGCCTCTCGTTTTTATGCAAAAGACCACACGACAGTTTTATAGCCGGTGATGCGAAACATCGTAAACACCGGGATGGACGCAGAGGCGAGGAGCTAACTTTAACCCCCGCCTAAGAGGATTAGCTTCTTAGCGGGCTGTGCTCTGCGTCGGTGCTCATTTAAGCACCCGACAATCACCCGGGTGGTCTTTTATTCGGCCAAGTTCTTTCGTTACTAAACTTCATGCTACGATAACAACACGTGAACACATCCCCTCACGTGATCCATTATACAATCACTCGATCGGAGAAGTTCTCCACGCGCGATGTTTACCCCCCTAAAAAATACTACGTGATTGTTGCTTTATCGTAAATTTATAGTGTCTTGAGAGATCAGTGCTTGCAGACGATTCTTCGCAAACGATTTACTCCTATATTATAAATTTTTATTTATTCTCATGATCCTGTGATAGAATTCTAGTGAATGATTAAGGTAAACAATGCTAGAACTCACCGTACGGAGGAAGGATACGTCATCCTGCTCGGAGCCACCCTCGCTGTCAGCCATCCCGTCGGTACGTTTTCACGTAACCTGGACGAGCCTCCTTCCGCTGCCTGGTTCGCGTATTTTCTTAGTTCGTTGTGTCCCTTCCGCTTCCTATTCCACGGCTCTGCTGGTTGGGACCGAGCCTCGCTTCCCCTCGGTAGTCCAATAGGGCGAGGACGGTCACACGCGGTCACGTTTCGACATTTTTTGTCCCTCTCCTTTCCCGTTCCTCACGGATGGTCTTTCCGCTCTCTTCCCCGGTGCAACGGAACGGGTTCACGTCTCTCGTCGGAACGACGACGAGCACAGTGTCGACGACGTCCTAACCTCCGACGGTGCACACCAATGATCAGCCACTACTGACCCTAGGGGTGCCTCGCGCTGAACGCCGACAGCACCTGCGCATGCGCCCGTTCCCTTCAATCAAATTCCGCATGCTCGAAATTCTGTCGTTAACTCCGCGATGCCGCTACTCACTGATTCCACCCGCTACCACACCAATTTCTCACACACATACACAGAAGGAGGAGAGGACAGAGGAGACACATACATAGCCCTTTGTTGAAATTTTTTTCTTACGCGGTCGCCACCCTTTGTGCGATGAGGCGAGATGATTTGTGGTACGAGCCGTGATAGGAAGCACGATTTTTTTGCTATCTGGATGCTAGGGGGTTGTGGGAGAATTTTTTTTGAAATACCTTAGATTATCCGTGTGGTTAGATGGCGGAACGTGGTATCTGCGATATTCGTAATTTTACAGTAAAGCGATTGTAACTGTTAGTCTGTGAACCACTAGGAAGTAGAACGTTCGATGTGTAGGATGTTATGATGGTCTTTGGTAGTAATTTAGAAAGCATTCTATTGTTTCATACATCTAATAAATCAAGAAATTGACAGAAAACCAGTAGAGACGATCAGACGTTTGATAGACTGATTTATTGACATCGAAAGCTAATCAAGCTAATCAAGGCAATCGTTGTCTGGAAATAAGTGGAATTGGAAAGTTTGACGACCAACGAAAATCATAGAAGTAAGTTTTGCTCATCAGCGATCCATTCCCCGAGCTTAATACGAGGGCCACATCAAGGGAAAAGAAGTTTCGTCTAACGAGCAGGAAAGTTTGGATCGTGTCATGCCTAGTTGGACGCCAGGTAGAGACGAGAAATTATGGTGACCTAGAATCGCGACCGTTTCTCGTGCGTTTCGAAACCAGAAACGCGTATATTTATACGCATTTCTATACGAACCATCACGACGGAAATCGTGCACGCTATTTTCGCGGTAAATCGAGCAATGACACGAACTAATGGCTCATTAAAGCAAGCGCAGTAATACCGTAACCATACCCTCCTTCACAAATATTAATTGGCATATCGACAAGTTGTTGTTAAACCAGTATTATCATTTCAATCATCATCAGCAAATTAAGCCAGATTCACAGAGCGGTCAAAGGCACGGTCGGATCGCGTCAAATCCGACAGCGGTCTTTATCGCTTACACGTAATCCAATGAGAGAAATATAAGTTAAATTCAGATTGATCGTGATCTGATCGTGCCTTTGACCGCTAGTGTGGATCTAGCGTTATTGTACCGCGCGTATATACACGTCAGTTGGACTGAAAGTGACTCGTGCAAGGAACTCTTTGTATATTTAGAGATAGATCCACCACCCGATTGGTTTAAGTAAAAATAGTTTGGAGCGACCGGTCGCCCCACGCGTTACTTCCGGAGTAATAAAAGGCGTAACTGCACGCCTCGCCCAACCCGTAACTTTCCTATTACGTTATAAAATCCTACGGTGCGTCGATTATACGAAACGGGATAGAATCAGATTCGAGGCGACGCGTTACTACATACACACCGTTCGAACAATATTTGCTCGACGAAGAGTACAGTACGAAACCGTGGCGTCGCGTGTTTCAATTACGCGCAGTTCGTGTACGCGATCGATATCCCGAGAATAAGCGTCGTTCGGGCGTTAATCAGCTAATTAAATAATATCGTCGACGATGACAACGTGGCCGTGCAACGACGCGGGGGATAGACGACACATACATACAGAGGGACCCCGCGCGAGCCGATTTCTCATTCCCGTGTCTATTTCCAGCGACCGGGCAGAAATAGATGCATTTACCGAGCACTCGTCGAGGAAATCTACGTACGTGCTTGGCCGTGTTTCCGCTCGAATTAGAAACGGTTACACCGTCGTCGATCGCAAGGTTAAGGATAATTGTCAGAACTGTGGAGGGAACCAGCGAGCGGAGTGATCCAGGGATTGATCCAGGCGCGCGGCCATCGGTCCCGCCGAATACATCATTCACAGGGGGACGGACGAAAAACGAACTGGCAACGCATCAACGGACAAATATTGTTCGCGTGCTAAATATTTCCTCCACCGATTCCCGCTGTCCATCCCCCCGAAGCGAGAAAATAACACTTTGTCGTTGGAACAAAACCGTCGTCGATGTATACCGCCATCGGGTCGAACGAACATTTCGCAATTTCGGTAAACTCGTTGCCAGACGGCGCAACGCACCTGTGGCGAAATAAAAAAAAAAATCAGACTTCACAGTTATATAAATTGTTGCAAGTTATCCTGCCCGCAAGGGAGACACTCTCAGCCAACGTACACTATTGCTCGTAAGTAATAGAACACCTGGTCTGTATACAGAAAATGTAATGTTTCATAAAAATGGTATATTTTAGGCCACATTTAGGTATTACTTTATAGTAGTATAATCATCGTGCATGGAACTTTGATATCCCCAGAACAATATTCCTTTCAGACTTCCAGCAATTTTGTAGTACTCTGTAACATTTACTGCATATTCGGTAAGTGTCCTAATACATATGAGTGGCAGTGTATATACGTGGTTATATAGAAAATGAACTTTTACGAATGAGGAACTAATTACACGGTATTACGGGCTCGAATATACCTGGTCAGAGGTATCCAGATCACGACCGAGAAAAACTGCCTCCCTCGACCCTGTCTGTGTAATTAAACAGCCAGGAACTTTCGTGAAACCGCCCTGCGGCACCGTATCCCGCCCGTACGCACGCACCCACTCACGCACTCAACTCACACAATCTTCGCGGCGTATCGTAATGCAAATGCATCGAGGTCGATCGGTCTACCGACCATTCCGCAATGCAACCGGTAACGCACACCGCATTACCTTCGAAACTTCACGCTTTTCAACCACTTTGATTCACTGGTTCGCGGAACGAGAAACGTTCCCGGGGCTGGCGATGAACCGATTTAACACACTATCTGAGATTCACCTTGTAGAGAGACAGAGACGAAACTTCTTCACTGACGCGTTGCGAATGGAGGAGGCGGGGGTGGGGGAAAGGGTACACGCACTTTCGTGATCTCGATGCTCGTATGCGACCTCGATCGAGCCGTCTGGGGGGTCGTTCAGTCGAGTAATATTGTTCGTTCGGGGGTGGCTGGATCTTCGTCTACTCTATCGGGGGCCCCTTCCGACGAAAATCGTATCGAGGCTCGAGCGGTTCTGCCGGACCACGGTGCCGAGCGGAATGGAGCGAGGCGAGCCGACTGTCCACGGCTATTTTCAGCCTCGAGCCGAGGCCCGCTGTTGGCTCTCCTCGCCGCGACGTGTAACAGACGAAAGACGACTTTGTGCCTCTGTTCGTCGTGCTGTCGACGAACCGTTGAGTGGTGCCAGTTTCCGTCAGTTTTGACGGAGTACGGAGAAAAATGGCCGGGAACAGTGGAGGGATCCTTCGCCAATTGACCGAGTTTCGGCTGGATTCTGCCGTTTCTGTAGATCGAAACGGAAAAATCTTTATTTTGTCTATATCCTTATCTAAAAGAGCACTTTTCCATTTTTTTTTTATTAAATGTGGACATTTCATTTTCTGTAATAATACTGATACTGTTTGCTATGTATTTTTCGAATAGAATTGCGCCCAACTCTATCCGATACATTTCATTTTTAAAAAATTGGTGGTTTTAGATTGTAGGAATTCTTCGAAACGTGTAAGTACCGATTTTCGATTAAGAAATATTTTCATTCTCAAAAGGAGCATCCAGTCTATATCCATCTAGGGAATGACGTGACTTCGTAATTTTATTCGGCAAACTGTCTGATGTTCTAATTTAAATTGATATTGGAAAAGTAGTTGACACTATTCCTTCGATGAAATATTGTTTAAAATTAATTTCCAGTTCTATATTTTATAGGCAGTTGCCGCCATTATTTACTATATCTTCTATATCCGTGGTAGAAGTTCGATAAAAGTATACAAGAATCCCCAGTAGCGGTCACCCCAAGCGTTTTCCATGATACAACCCTTACGACACTCACCGACGGAGTACCAATTCTGAAATTATTGATCTGGTATTCTCATTCTCGGCTGCTGGCACAGACGAGATATAGAATTCTATACCTTGTCTAGGTATGGTAAGATAAACGAAGCATGTAATGCTGTGTTCGTGCTAATAATATCGCAGACGAGATATAGAATAGACCTAACATACAATGCAATTTTCTGTCACATACATACTTCGAGGGCTTCAAAGCCGCCTTACCATTTCAGTATCAATACCGACGACCGATAAAGCATTAATTCTAAGTATTATTAGTACAAATGGAGCATTATGTATTCCATTCGTATTACGTGTATCTAATATGATTTGGCGGGAATCAAAATACTCGATGCTACAGTTTAAAGGATGAATATGATACTAATGAAATATGCCGCGCGAAATTATATATTTTTTCACTTATCTATAACATAACTTATTCTAAATCATTAATATCGTTAATGAACACTTTAGTAATGTTACTTCTTAAGTGTTCCTATTTATTACACAATTAATTACCTTCTGGCAGGTGGTACATTTCTTCATATAACTTTATTTACATTTACACATCATATATTTACAATAATTTCATATTTTATATTTTATTCGTTTTTATATCCTTCTATACAATAACATGATATAAGAATCTTGAAACGCACAATTAATTACCTTCTGGCAGGTGGTGCATTTCTTCATATAACTTTATTTACATTTACACATCATATATTTACAATAATTTCATATTTTATATTCGCGATGGGAGCAATTTTAGATTCCGAGGGAGTAAATTGAGAGCAATTTTTTAAGATGAAAATTGTTAAGAAATACTAATATTCCGCGTCAACTATTCTTCGGTTCTCTACAGCTCCGGAAGGTGCAATAAACAAATGTCTACAGTACCTAGTTCGTACTGCTGGTATATTATCGTCCGTTTCTGCCGCGAATGACGAGAAAGAGACTTTTTTAATTGCTGAAACAACCTTGCAACGACATTTTCAGTATCGTAGTTGATGTATATCCTGGCGCTAGATGGCAGGATAACATTGTGCTATAATTTCAAAGTAATTTCTT